ACTGCGAGGAAGTTTGATGGTGGTTTTGGAGAGGCTGATGGGAATATCTGTGTGTTATGTGAATGCAACAAGCATTCATTCGGACGATGATTCCACCAAATTTTTATTTAATCAATCAAATTTAATTAAATAATCAAATTCATTTAAGAAAATTAAGATAATTTAATCAAAAAATCAGCGTTATTTGTTTGATTAAGAAAATTAAGGCAATTAAAAAATAAGAAAATTATGAGAATAATCGAATTTTGTTTAATCGGACGATGATTAAATTCAATCAAATTAAGGAAAATCAAATTTTCGCCTTCCAAAAAAATACCGTTAAATTGGGCAAATTTCAGAGATTTCGTGTCGAGGATGCATTATCTTATTTGGATCAAGTAAAACAACAATTTGCTGATGCACCGGATATTTATTCTGGCTTCCTGGATGTTATGAAAGATTTCAAATCGCATAGGTATCGGTTTTAAATTTTTTTTGTAGCAACGATTATCTTGATATTTTTGCACCGAAAATCTCTTTTTTTTTCTAATTTGAGCCCATTTGATTTAAATATTTTCGTATAAACATTCAAAAAAAAACGTTCTTTAACACTTTGATTTTTCGTGAGTACTATCCAATTTTCTTCCTTGGCTTATTCATAAGACCAGCTTAACCCTCATTTCGTGTTGTGTGCGTTCAGAAGCAAGTGAACTTTGTCACCCATTTTCAACTCAGCAACCAGGAAATATTTTATAAATATAGAAGTTGCTAATATTTTATAAATGTAAAATTTGCGAATTTCATGCCACCAATGACGAGCATATCGAATGTGACACGTTAACTGAGTAGCAACAGCTTTTTTCAGTTTATCAGATAACTGCCCCCTATTGGCGCCTACCATGCATCGCTACTAAAATTGCACTTGGATCTGAATTTTTTTGATTTTTTTTTTAAATTTTTGGAATAATCAAATAGGCATAGCAATGACCTACTGAAACGGTCTTTGTTGATTAGCAGTGGTGCTTAGTTTTTGCGAAAAAAATGCTAAAATTTTTTTACTTCAGCATCGATACACCTGGTGTGATAAAGCGTGTTTCACGTTTATTCCGTGGTCGACCAAATCTCATCATCGCTTTCAATTCTTTTTTACCGCCCGGATTTGGTGTACGTATTGAAGGATCAAAAATCATAATTTCGGAGCCCAGTGGTCGTCGACAAGTGATCGACGAAGGTAAATTTTTTCTGCTTAATTTTTGCTTTTTTTAGCTCAAAATCTTTTGGGGTTCTTTTGATGGGTATCTTTTGGATTGGAATGTAGGTACTTTTGATTGGAATGTAGGTAACTGTAGGTACTTTTTTGAGAAAGATGTTTCCGGTTTTTATGCGTTTTATTTTGTAACAGTTGCACAAAAACGTATATTGTCGAGACTATGTGTGTGAGTGTGTATGTGTGTGTGTGTGAGTGTGCGTGTGTGTGCGTGTGTGTGTATGTGTGTATTCGGAGTGCATTTTATCCGCGAGTTTCAACATGGGAACCAGAGAAGTTAGTAGGCTCAAATTTTAGTGTAATGTTCCCCGTTCATGTGCGGCCCCGCGAATTTAAATTCAGCCTTCAAGTACTTCGTACGACCCTGCGAAAGTAATGTCGGGGTGAATTATCGTCTCGGGAACGACGAAAGCTAGGAAGCTGAAATAGTGATAAAATGTTCCCAGCTTATTTGCGACCCCGCAAATTTAAATTCAGCTTTCATGTATCCCCGAAGTACCACGTACAATCCTACAAAAGTTTTAGCAGGGGGAATTATTATCTAGAGAACCGCAAAAGCTAGGAAGCTGAAATGTTAAGGCGTTCTCTGTCTCCCTAAGACCCAGCAAATTTGAGCTAAGCCAAATTTTCAAATTCAGCTTTCACGTACGTTTGCGTCTCACGTGCTGGCGCGTAAAATTTGTAATGGGAAATTTTACAGCTTGGGAACTAAAATAGCATATCGAGCATTTTTTCGAAAACCAAAATGTAAAACAGTGAAAATCCGTAAGAAGCAAACGTCCGCTGGTAGAAACTGCGCAAAACGCATAATCGCTTCGACTACCCTGGTGCGCGTTGCTACTTGTTTTAGTGTCAAAATTTTAAGCTCTTTTACCAAATTTTGCTCTGGCGATGTGTACTTTTTTGTGCCCCTAATGGG